ATATACACACACACACACACACACACACACACACACAATTTTTCTTTTTGGTGCTGAGGGTGGAACCCAGGCCATGAACAGCAATAGGCCAGCACCGTACCATTAAGTTATATATCTGGCTCTTATTAAAGAAGCAGCAATAAAAGACCCCTTGTAAAATATGATCAATTTTCCCAATTCTTTAATATTTTTCTGATAAATGTTATTTGTCTATGTGGCTTAAATTCATGGTGCAATAGTGTACAAGGTCGCATTTCATTTTGCATTGTTACCTTTGTCATTTCTGGTCCTGCATAAACTCAAGTGTCCTTCATAGTTATCCTTCCCAGGATCCACTGCTAAATTTCTTATTGTTATGAAAGTGTTGACATTTGTAGTGTCACATCTGTCCTGTTCCATTGCTGCTGTATGTTTGACTGATAGTGCCCCGCGATTACATTATAGTTTTATTAATTTCATCATCTTCTTAACATTAATTCTGTTTAGATCAGTTTTTTGTTTCATTTTCAACTTCTTGATTATTTTATAATCTGCAGTGACTCAACTGATGACGCCTTTGTAGGTTTTCATGCATCTGGTTTTCTGTGAGTGTGTGCATGCATGTGTGTCTTTCCGTGTGACACCAAATACTTTCCTAACTTCCAGCTGCGAGTGTAAATTCTGACAAAATCGTGCATGTTGCTTACCTTCTCTACTATAACACATTTCAATGGCTCTGGATGCCTTTAGACAATTACTACCAGTTATGCATGTATTAGAAAAAGTTTATCGTATTAGTTATTCTTATACGTGTTTGATAGTGGTGAATTACTGAGAGCTAATATAAACTCTTCAACTACAGGTTCACTGGCTTTCACATCTGCTCATGGTTGGCTTCAACTGTGGTTTAATATGTAGCTGAGACTCCTCCGTGCTTGCAGTGGTTACATCTTGGTTGCACACTTTGCACAGTGAATAATTTCACAGCTTCTATGTATTCTTGGAAGGGACTTTTCTCTGGAGTTTAGGTCATGTGAATCAATGTGAACTCATACTTGGGAAAGGCTCACTGAAAATGATGAGTTTGTAAATTAACTGGATTTAACGCAAGGGTAGAGGAAGTTTTATTGTTGGCTTTACAACTTAGGCACAAATGAAACCGCTCTTATCCATTGTTATTATGTGAGAATCTGTTCTATGTATAAGACCACATTTATCGGTGCAATATCAACCTCTGAACCTTGGAAAACGTAATGGTTCCTCAACTCAGCCCTTTTCTAAACCATCCAATCCACTGCATTCTTCAGCTGCTACATTGTCTCTTTGCTCTTTCCTTCTTCCGTTCATTCTTTGATGTCCCTCATCCTTCCTTCCTCACAATTTCCATTGTCCCTGCTCCTCGCTGCTTCCTTCCTTCCCTCCCTCCTTTTCCTTCCTCCTTCTTTCCTTCCTTCTGTTCTAACACCCTTCCATCTCACTATATCTTTGACTGCACCCTATTAAACAAGCCAAAATGTTTCATGTCCTAATAAGAGCAGTGGCTTATCATCCAGTGGAAATCATTCCTGCAAAGTATACTCCGCACATTAATATTCTGCCTTATTTCTTTCACTGAGTTAATGGAGATCTTCAATACTAAAGTGAAAATATCAGGCAAATCCTTCATTTCTTTATGAAAAGTAAACTTAAAAACCCAGAGTTCTCTTGCATAGCAACTTAATATAATTTGGACATCGTTCTATAGAGATATGTGGCATTGAGCCAAGCATTAAAATTTTGTATATGTTTTTTAATTTGGAAACCAATGAAATAGTACAGCAATTTCACAAAAATATAACCACAGAAAGTACAGGCATTAGCAAAATTGTCCAGCAGCTAATAAGCTGCATAGATAGGCACATAATTACTGTTGCAAGGGAGGAAATTTTCCTCATTGCCTTAAGATTTCTGGCTGGCTGTGAAAGACAGAGACGATTTCACTATGGTGAATATGCAAATATATTCCTAAAATGTCACATGACAAGAGGCTACAGTATGGCAAATCT